GAGACTCTATACAGAAATAAAGAAGCAGAGCACAACCCAACATCGAGGTGAGAAAGAAAAGCAAGTACCTGAGCCTCCGTCGTCTTGAACTCGCATCCGTTGTATGTGCAGGTTTGTGGGAACAAATTCTAACTTTTTATCTGCTTTCAAACTGCTTGCTTTAAACGAAGGACCTAAGAAATAAAACAAGAAAACAGACCCATCAACATGCACCATGTGCAAGTAGGAAAGCACCTAGAGGAGCGGCTTCATGGAAGCAGGCCTAGCCCAACAGAGGCCTGGAAGGTTCTGAATGGCCACGTAGAACAGTAGGTTGGAGGGTAGCTTGCAGCCAGGGATCTGACTCTGAATGCTTTTAGAAGGCTGGAGTACTGGTGAGGCCCCTCCTCCTGTAACTCAGTTCAGAAAGTCATGCTACACAGATGTGATTGTAGGTGGTATGGTACCACCACCACAGAAAGGCAGTGGACCACCTCAGAGACTGCCTGCCAGCTCTACAGACTGCTACCATCCCAGAGCCTTGAAACTGGCCTTCCTGGAATAGCACCTCTCAATCTGAAATGAAGACCTTGGGTCAGGCTCTATGGCCCAGCCTGCACTCTTCAATCCGTTTCAGTAAGTTCCCTCACACATGCTTGGGCCTAGAGAGTAGGGCGATGTAACTAACCAGCAGCCACAACCTCATTTCTAGAATCAGAAACCAGAACTAAATGAGGTGAAAGTGTCAACAGGAGAGTGACCAATGGCTCTCAGGCAGACAGCCACTGTGTTCTGCATACAGGAGTCTGGAAGCCACACTGTGACTCTCAGACCTGCAGTGTGCCTGCCTTGGACACTGTAAGAAATATAGCCAAGGCCGGTATTTAGCTGAGAGTCTCAGAACAGTGGATGCTTCTGATATTTAAAAAGCTCTATCCTAGAAAACTCAGGTTTGCAGGGGTTCCAAGCTTTCTCATGAACATTTATCCAGCATAAGCTGGTGCCTCAACTGCTCAGGTAAATGCTCCCACCTTTCTAAGTAATGCACTTGGACTTGCTTGGAGTAGTCCCACATGCCACTGTCTTGCTAAGTTTATGGACAAGTTCCTATATTGTGTGTGGAAATCATAGGAAGGGTTCACGATTTCACAATGACAAAGCAGTATATAGAAGGAGAGAAACCAAAGGTAAAGACTACTTTGAAAGAAAGGAGTGGGGCTAGAGACATGGCTCAGTGGTTAAGAACACTAGTTGCTCTTCCAGAGGTCCTGAGTTCAATTCCCAATATCTAAGTGGTGACTCAGAACCATCTATAATGGGATCTGATGCCCTCTTCTGCCATGAAGACATGTAGAAAGACAGAGCACTCATATACATAAAGCAAAAAAGAAAAACAAACAAACAAAAAACAAAAAGGAGGGAAGGGAAGGAAAAAATGTAATTATACTTTAATCTCAAAAATAAATCTTTACAAAATAAATAAGTTATAAGAAAAAAAAGTACTTTCAAAGACTAAAACAAAAAAATTTATCCCATTTGGAATAGAAAGAAAATGGGTTAACAAAATTACATAGTTTGAAAATCAAATATCATCTTCCAGAAGGGTGCTCTCCTAGCATGCACTAAGCCCTCGGCTTGACCTCCAGACTCCAGCCTGGGAAAAAGGAAACGCAAGTAAGGAGAAAATTAGGTGAGGTGTCTAAACCTCACTTTCTCTTGAGTTTAAAATACCGAGCTGCACTCTGACAGCTTACATATTCTTTAAAATGACTTCAAATATTTAAACTAGGAAACTGCCTTGCTTCAGGCAAACAGTCCATATTCTTGTGGTTTTCAATGGTATAAGGCCAAGATGGAGAACCCACATGGCCAGGGTAACCTGAAACTGCTTCACCTCAACTTCATGTCACAGGGGTTGTTTTAGGAGATAATACCAGAGAAAGACTTCTTGCAATTCACTGATTTATCATTTCAATTAAGATCTGAAAACCCCAGAGTTGAAAGAATTCACACCTACATGAGCATCTATTTTTAAAATCCCACTTGAGATAATCAGAGAGTCTGCGAGCATCCCAGGCCTTCAGTTAGGAGTGTGGGAGATTCAGGTACCTGGGACAACAGGGCCACACTCACCTTTGTACTGATGGAGGTCGGTCAGATTCTCCTGGTAGGTGAGAATGATAGTCTGATACTGGGTGACAATCTGGCGCCGGAGGCTCTCCCAGCAAGGGGACAGCTCCCCCAACTCTTCCAACTCACATACTCTGCAAACAAAACACACACATCAGGCCGCAGGGCTGGCTCACCTCCCTGCAGCTGTGGCCAGGCCAGCAGTGTCACTGCCATCCTCATAGGATGATGGGAGAGATCACTGAGCACATGGGAAGCACACAGAGAAACTACAGGAGCCGAGGCAAATGCTCAAGGCCAGCAGCGAATGTGAGGAGGAAAGAAGCAGCTGAGGAGGAGCTCTGCCTGATGACCTTGAAAATGTCACTCAGGCACTGGTCCAGTTCTCTGCAGGATGATGCATTACTCCAGAACAGAAGGACAGGAGATGTGAGAAAACACTCACCTCCCCACCATCATTCCAACAACTCCCTTTCCGTGTCAAGAACACAGTGACAGTCTCACACTTCTGGGAGAGCCCCATCTCCCATCTGAGCATCCTTGCTGCCCACACTGGGTGTCAGCCCTGCACGTACAGTTGCTGTCAACACCTTAGCTGGCTCTAAGGCACCCACCCATGAAGGAGCTCTTTGAAGCAGTAATGCACATGATGTTAATCACTAATGCTGATTTAGAAAAGGCTGTGGAGGTTACAGTCTGAGACAGACACAGTCTCACCCTTACTTGGAACTGAGAAAATATGCCTCGGGATGAAAGCTTTGCTCTGTGGGAGAGGAGGACCCTGCAGGGTCATTCTCTGAGCTCTTATCTCTGTGGTTCCAAACAGGATAGATGAGAAGGAAAAGAGAGAGAAAGAAGGGAAGATAGGCTGACATTAGCCAAGCCTCTGGGGCTCCAAGCACAGACAGAAGAGCAAAGTGAGGCTTCAGACAGCTGGGGCCACGGGGCCAGCAAGGGGAGAGCCTGTGTCTGCACTCGGCCTGTCGAAGGCACATGCTCATGGGTGCTGAGTGTCCATCCACTTGGCCTCACCTGGCTGCATCTTCTTCCAGCAGTAGCTTCACAAACTGCCGAGGCACGTGCAGGGAGAGGACGCTCTCTGCCATCTGTTCCAGGATCCGTAGGTGGTTGCCATCAGTAGTTGGGAAGCGGTACATGCGGCAGATGGCACCACCAAACACTGAGGTAAGAATGCAAGAAGACAGGCCGTGGGTGAGATAGCTGCGGACCCACCTGCACCGCTCCTGCTTGGGCCCTCAGTGACTCTACGGACCTGTTTTCCCAAGAGAACTAATAAGCAAGCAAACAGCAACAAGAAAACTCAAAACCCAAAACTCACATAAAGCAAGCCCTCCAAGCAGTACCTGACACTCCTCACTGTCAGAGGATAGTAGTAACTCTGAACAGCAAGGAGCAGGGGCAGGAACACTGTCAGTCACTAAAGCAAGTGTCAAATAAGAGTAAAATGGAGCCCCTTCCTTGAGGGATTTCCAGCTCTGCATACTACAGAAAATGCCACACTGATGAATAACAGCAGATAGGTACCATCTGAGGCGTGTGTGTGGCAATCAAAGTGGGCGGGAGCAAAGGGTGGCCAGTCACATGAGAAGAAGCTGCTTACCCGCTTTCAGTAAGCTGTCTTTTCGCAAAGAAGCATATTTGGATCGGATTCCCAAGGCCTCGGTCAAGCTCTCATCAACGGGCAGAACCATCTGATAAGAATTACGGAAAGGGATAAGAACACTGGGTGTGGAGACTCCAGCGAGGCCGCAGACATGAGCCTGAGCTTCTCACATGCCCGGGCAGCTGAACTCGCCAGGCTGGTCAACAGTGCACAGGTGCCCAGCACACACACCCATGTCCTTCCCCATGCTGCACAGATGGGTGTCAGGGTTGTGGTATACAAATGAAACAGAAGGGCAGAGGCCACCAAGAACATCCTTAGTGCAAATACTCTGAGCATACTTGGGCGACCTGAGGTATCATTTTATAGTGCTTCTTCAACAGTACTGGTTCTGAAGTTGGAATTCTCCTTTGGTAACTGTCTGGGTGAAAGACTGTGGATCATGAGGAGACAGGAGATAGGGAGGGAGTGTAAAGGTGACTAGGAAAGTCAGTCACTGGCTGTGATGGAAGGCATAGGTCTCCATCACCTCTTTGCCCACCCCTTCCCGCTCTGCCCCATGTACACTAGCAAAGATACTTTGTGCTCAATTCTGTGCAGCCAGTGTGGCTCAGGGAGCAGAGACCAGTTCCAGGTCAGCAATGCTTTGTATGTCAGAGCAGAAGCCCTTCTATTCCTCTTGGAATCATACCCAAGAAAGCCCTGAGAGTCCCACGGAAGGCAATGTCAAGCAGCAGGCCCTGCCCTTCACTGAGACAGAGGAGCATGAAGATAATCAATGCTCCTACACCTCTGAGGGAGATGAGAAAGGTGCCCACTCACCCTTCCATTGACAGTGTCCAGTGACCGGGTCACAGGGGGCTGTTGGTCTGACTTTTCTTCCATCTGCCAGCCGATCACAGTTATGTTACCAACTCGGTCACTCTCTGCAGATCTGCAACAAGCATCAAGCCTTAACGAGCACTGGATTGGCTCAGCTGCTTTTCTTTTTAAGGCAAAGCTCAGCCATCCTGGGTCACCAGGATCCTGGGAGCATCAAAGAAGGTAGCATCCTGATGGGTCTTCTGACACACCGAGTGGTCCATCCTACCTCCCCTTAGCAGGCACCACTACCTCCCATAGACAGTCCCTGGGAGAATGGAGGGGCAAACCTTTAGACCCTTTCAAAGGAATAAAGCCAACACCAACCTCAGTGTCAGATGCAATCTGTGATGCCTGTCCTGGAGCAGATCTTTGACTACGAATGTTCCAGAGCCCAGTAAGTACATCTGGGGGAGACAGGAAGATCAGTAGAAGGACACTTGGCGTCCCTCTGACCCATGCACCACAATCCAGAGAAGCTGGTGGTTTCTATAACACCTCCCCCCAACCCTCACCTCGTGAACCCATGACAACAGTTGGAAGAGGATTCTGAGACGAATGTGTCTCCACACAGGTTAATTCATAAGCCAGTAGTGAACTCAGTCCTGCTTGGACTGTTACATAACTCTAAGTGAAGGGAGACTGTTCACCAACTGCGTGTTACTTAACTGTTCCCTGAGATCTGTCTTTGACATCGTACACGGACAGCTTAATCTGGGTCATCTGATTGATAAGGGAGTCTTGAAAGAAGGCAATGCTGCTTAGAAAGATAGGGTTGTTGGTTCCCTAGAACAGAACAAGAGTTGGATTTTAAGGAATTGTTTTTAACTTTCCTAATATTTTCAGAATGAGGAAATTAACATTTTTATTGTTTGTGCAACACAAACACTAATGGCAGCACCAGACAAGACCAAAGAACTCTGCTCTCCAAAGAAGAAAATCTATCCCAGCAAGATCATCATCGATCTGACAGGACAAGCAGGCCCCTGCAGAGGCTGTGGAGAGGACTCACTCCCTGAAATGAGTGTGTGTTCCACATCCATGGCATTCTCCTGGTGCAGTTCTGTGTGCTGTATTTTAGACTGTTACCTGGGTGTGTTCCTTTCAGGTGTGTGCAAAGGCAGAGGAAAGTGGAAATGGATGGGTTCAGTAATTATCTCTAGAATCCTGTGTTTGGAATAATTAAAGCTGACCTTTCAGGAGCTGTCCTCTTTCAGGACGGGGTCTAGTCCAAGATCACAGGAGCCTGTTTTCTGGCAGCTCTGCCTCAGAGCTCCACTGTCCTCTCAGCAGCTCTAGGTCACGTCTCAGTGTCTGCTGGGAAGCCTTCTAGGTCTATGAGCCTTCCATACCCCCACCCCACCTCTGAGAATCTGTTAAAGCAGGCTACAGGTCTGGGACTCAGCTTTGGTGGCCCCTTGTCTGTTGAGCAGGTGTCAATCAGGAGACTACAAACCCTTCCTACAAAGTCTACCTCCAGCACCTCTTCCTAGACACCTGTTCTCCCCGCTCCTTCCTTCTGCCAAAGTCATCCTGTATCCCTCCCCCAGACACCTGTCAGAGGCAGGAGACCTCCTTGCAGACGTCATGCAAAGCTAGCTACTGTGCTATATCACAAACACCCTGCTCAGCCTACAAAATCAGTTTTTTGCACACACTAAGCAGATCTTGTTTCTTAAATCCCATGATGCTCTGCTATCTCTGGGCACCACATGCTACATTCGGTTCTAGACTGGAAGCACAAGCATTACCTGCAAGATGTGCAGAACTGGGCCCCTGCCAGGCCCACGCCTGGACCTGCAGTCAAGTCCTACTGAGGAAGCCTGCTTATAGGGATATTGTTCCCGTGTCCTCACCCTGCTACCCTAACGGTCCCCATGCTTTCTGGTACAGGAAGTCATCAGGGGTATTTCGGTCCCTCCTCCTTGGGAAACTGGAGGGCAAGGACTGTGTCCTTGTGGGGCTTGTACCAACAATCAACAGTGCTTGGCCTGGGGCCAGTGCTCAACAAGTGCCTATACCATAGTCAACCTCACTTAGAAGGGGCTAGCTTCTAAAATGGAAAAGTTGATATAAAATTATGTATTAATGAATTCATATATAAAAGCATAGAAATATAAAAAAATAAAATAAAGTTGGATTTGGTAATTATTCACATTACAAATAAAACCCTGTGTAATCCCATATCAGAAACTCCTATGATCTGTATCATAACTCATATAATGTGTTCAACTATCTAAAAAGATCTTGTAAACTTCCCTAGGTAAAGCTATGTAAATTATTTTTAAAAGCACACAATACAGAACACAAAAATGCAAAAATAAAAGTTAATAAAGAATACAGCCATGCCCCAGCCTAACAGTAAACACCTTCCAAGCACTGGTGAATGAGCAGAATTCTCTAATCACAGCAGCAACAGGAGTGACAAGGGAGAGCTGTGCCTCCTCTCTTAAAGGTCAATCAATCTTACAGGGCCCTCCTTAACCAACAGTCCATCGAAGCTCAGGCAGGATGTGGCAGATGAACGGCCACCCTAGGACTGCGACAAAACAGTTAAATGAGCTGAAATGGAACCCAAGCCACAGCTGCCCAAAAACTGAGCGGCCCTTCTCCTGGGGCCACAGACACCCCTGAGCAGGAGGCCTCCCTGACAGAGAGGGACCGGCAGCACCCACCTCGATGATCTCCGTCTGCGCATGCTTTGTCCAGAATGCCTGCGGAGGGGTGGTGACGCTCACAGCCACAAAACTATTTGGTTTTCGATCTAGCGATGGAGTATGCAGCTCACTGCAAGCTACAAAAGCAAGATGGAGAAAAGGAATTCGTTTGGATAGAGTTCTAGTTAGCTCACTGCTCTCCACAAACCCAAAAGAAAGCTTAAAATAACACTCCCAGAGACACCGTGGTCACACTGTCAGTAAGACAGGGGATTTTAAAAAACTGTCTTCTCATTCTCTTCCCTCTTCCATCACCAGTGGTAGGGTGGCCTTCTGATTCAGAGTATAACAGCATAGTTACATATAATAAATGTAATGTAATACAATACAATACAATACAATACAATACAATACAATACATGTAGGCACTTATAGATACACATAAAATAAAATATCTTTAAAAAATAAGAAGAGCACTAAACTTTATTAAATCTCTAGTTTTTTAAGACAAGAGTCCTGGGGATAGATGGTAGTGACAGCTGCACAGCTGTGCAAATGCATCTGACGCCTCCGTGTGCACTTTTGACAGTTAAAGCGGCAACTGCTGTACTATCTGCATTTCCATCATCATCCAACATATGGCATCAACTCTGACTCCAAACTGCATTCTCACAGCCACAGTAGGTAAGCTCCATGCAGGGAGCAGGATGAAAGGAAGACAGTGAGGAGGACAGAAAGAAATGGGGGGAAACCCTGAAAGAATTAAAAGACAGAAAACAGGGAGGAGCTACACACTGTAGGTTAGAGAAGAGAAGACTAATGCCTTGGTGTGTGCCAAGTAACTTTAATTAAAGTTAATTAATTCCTCATGATTACTGTCCCCTGAAGTACCCCCTCCATCATCTCCGGCATCTGAACATCTGGTTCTAGGCTGGTGACACTGTCAAGAGGTTTAGGAGCGGTGGCTCTATGGGAGGAAGTACACCATTAGGGGTGGGCTTTGATGCTCAAGGCCTCTTCCTACTGCTACCTGCTGTTTTTGCTATGTGCTTGAGGTCCAAGATTCGAGCCCTCAGCTCACGCTCCAGCTGAGATGGCTGTTGCTTGCCACTGTGCATCCCCACCACTGCAGACTCCTACCCCTCTTCTTCTGTAAGTTGCCTTGGTCATGGTGCTTACCACAGCCATAGAAAAGTTACTGACATAATGTCTAAAACCCAACCACCCGTTTTGGTTCTAATCATACAATGACTGCACTCATCCTGTCCTATTAGCCATCCCTCCCTATCACATACGTGTGTATGTACCATGTTAGAGCCACTGTTTACAAAGCTGTCTGTCGCACGGTCCCCCTGGCCCCACAGTCTCAAGCCTTTCTAGTGTGAATCTCTGTCCGACCTGTTTCTGAGGAGCACTCCGCAGCACTGCTGATACTGCAAGACTAGGTAGGGGCTGACGTATCCCTTCAGTGTGTACGGCTTAAAAATATCTCACTGCACCTGAATGACTGAAGGGTATTTTCTCTAGGTAGTTATTTTCTCTAAGACCTCTAAATATATCGTTTCAGGGTTTCTATTTTTTCCTGCTATAAAACTGACAGTATAATTATTCTTCTCTCTCTCTCTCTCCTCTCTCTCTCTCTCTCTCTCTCTCTCTCTCTCTGTGTGTGTGTGTGTGTGTGTGTGTGTGTGTGTACACACGCACACACATGCTTAAGTGTAGCTCTTACAATTTCTCCAAGATTGGCTGTCAATAGCTCTATTATGATGTACCTAGAATGATGTATCTTCAGTTTTACTTTATTAGACTGAGAGAAATGCTCAACTATAAATACTAAAACCTTCTTTAAAAAAAAAATACTGAGACTAAACACTCTTACTGTAGGTTTTATGGGATCATTAGCTTGTTTTGGAACCGCCCTGGCTGGCTGGAACTGACTTCGGAGACTAAGAAGGCCTTGAACTTAGAGACTGGCCTGGCTCTCAGTCCCAAGTGCTAGGATTAACGATATGTCCACTATGCCCAGCCACTGCTATGGCTTTTAATGGCATCCCTTTTCTATTGCTTCATCTCTCCATCTTCATTTTGGCCTTTGCCTAGAATTACTGATTTCTCAATTTTGTCAAACTGACTTTTCTACAAAGCCATCCACAGACTTTTAGCTTTGTTTATTCTATGTTCCAATTCTATAAAGGTCATTTGGTTCTTATGCTAGCCCTCCGCATGTGCTGGCTTCCATTAATGTCAGAGCTCTGAGTGGCTCTGGTCCTGTCATTACTGCCCAGCTTTTCTTTCAAGTGTTCCTTGTCTGTTAAGCTTTTCTGTCAGTTTCTTGTTTGCCTCATGTGTCAGCTCTGCCTCCGTCGGCTGTGGTACTGTAAGAAAGCACTATTGAACTAAATCCAAATTTTTGAGGAACTGCCAGATTGATTTCCAAAGTGGTTGTACCAGCTTGCAGTCCTACCAGCAATGGAGGAGTGTTCCTCTTTCTGCACATCCTTGCCAGCATTTGCTGTCACCTGAGTTTTTGATCTTAGCCATTCTGACTGGTGTGAGGTGGAATCTCAGGGTCATTTGATTTGCATTTCCTTGATGACTAAGGATGCTGAACATTTCTTTAAGTGCTTCTCGGCCATTTGATATTCCGCAGTTAAAAATTCTCTGTTTACGTCTGTACCCCATTTTTAAATTGGATTTTGGGTTTTTTGGAGGTTAGCTTCTGGAGTTCTTTATAAATTTTGGATATTAGCCCTTTATCAGATGTGGGGTTGGTGAAGATTTTTTTCCCAATCTGTAGGTTGCCAATTTGTCCTATTGACTCTGTCTTTTGCCTTACAGAAGAAGCTTTTCAGTTTCATGAGGTCCCATTTATTCATTGTCGATCTTAGAGCCTGAGCCATTGGAGTTCTGTTTAGGAAATAGCCCCCTGTGGCAATACGTTCAAGGTTCTTTACCACTTTCTCTTCTATTTGATTTCAGTGTATCTGGTTTTATGTTGAGGTCCTTGATCCACTTGGACTTGAGCTTTGTACAAGGTGATAAATATGGGTCTATTTTCAATTTTCTACATACATACTGCCAGTTGGACTAGCACCATCTATTGAAGATGCTTTCTTTTTTCCATTGTATGTTTTTGGCTTGTCAAAGATAAGTGTCCATAAGTATGTGAGCTTATTTCTGGGTCTTCAATTCTATTCCAAAGGTCAATCTATCTGTCTCTGTACCAATACCATGCAGTTCCTCAAAAAATTGGAAATAGTTCTACCTGAAGACTCAGATATACCACTACTGGGTATATACCCAAAAGATACTCTAACATATAACAAGGACATGTGCTCTACTATGTTCATAGCAGTCTTATTTATATGGCCAGAAGCTGGAAACAACCCAAATGTCCTTCAATGAAAGGATGGATACAAACAATGTGGTATATTTACACAATGGAATACTACTCAGCTATTAAAAACGATGACTTAATGAATTTTGCAGGCAAATGGATGGAAATAGAAAATATCATCCTGAGTGAAGTAACCCAGTCCCAAAAGGGCATACATAGTATCTACTAACAAATAAGTGGATACTAGCCCAAAAGCTCAGAATACCCATTCTACAACTCACAGATCATGTGAAGCTTAACAAGAAGGAAGGCCAAAGTGTGGATGCTTCAATCCCAAGGGGGAACAAAATAATCATGGGAGATAGAGGGAGGGAAGGTCCTAGGTGGGAGAGGGAAGGGGGAGGGAAAAGGTGGGGCAGGTTCAAGTATGGGAAGAGACAGGAAAGAAGCCCAGAGGGCCAGAAGAATAAATAGAAATATATAGCAGTGTGTGTGGGGGGGGCCTGGGGAGAAACACTAGAAAGTCCCAGAAGCCAGGGATTAGAGAGGCTCCCAGGACCCAATGGGGATGACTTAAGCTGAAAATCCCAACAGAGGGGAAATGGAACCGGAAGAGACTACCTCCAGTAGATGGATAAGGCCCTCAGTTGAGGGATGTGGCCACCCACTCATCTCAAAATTTTTAACCCAGAATGTTCCTGTCCATAGGAAATGCAGGGACAAAAAAAAAAAATGGAGCAGATACTGAAGGAAAGGCCATCCAGAGACTGCTCCACTTAGGGATCCTTCCCATCTCCAGACACTATTGCTGATGCCAAGAAGCGTTTGCTGGCATACGTCCTCATCTTTCAAAGATGTTCTGCTGACTATGTAATTCTAGCTTAGCTGCCTTTTAAAGGATTTTGAATGTTACCCCACTGCTTTCAAACTCCCTCCTCCTTCCCTCTTCACTTCTTCCTCCTCCTCTTTCTCTTCCTCTTCCTCCTCCTTCTCCTGCTCTTCTTCCCTCTCCCTGTCCTCTGGCATTTTAAAACTAGATCTAAATGTAAAGCTCACAATTAGCTGCTGCTTTTTACATTTTGTCCTCGACTTCCAACAGTTTCGTTAGGATGGCTCCAGGTGTGGCTCTCTTTGGAGTCTATCCCAGCTCTGACTGAAAAGGACCGTTAGCAAGTTTTATCATGATGGAACTGCAGAACATAGGGAATAAGATGAAGGTCATAGAATCATGTGGATGGGTTGGAGAGACGGCTCAGCATTAGAGTCCTCACTGCTCTAACAGCTAGAGCTAGAGCTCAGATCCCAGCACCCATGTCTGCCTGCTCGAAAAGGTCAGGATCTCCATCTCCAAGGGATCTGGCACCATTTTCTGGCCTCTGAAGACACACACACACACACATACACACACACACACACACACACACACACACACACACACACTTATACATACACACATACAAACTCACACACTTGCTAAAATATATGAAGCCCTGACCTCATCCTTATCAGGACGACTATGGCAGCACAACCCAATCAATAGTGCTTTCTTACAATACCGCAGCTGATGGAGGCAGAGCTGAGGCGTGAGGCAAACGAGAAGTTGACAGAAAAGCTTAACAGACAAGGACCATTTGAAAGAAAAGCAGGGCAGTAATGACAGGACCAGGAAGCTGACATTCATGAATCTCAGAGCTCTGACATTCATGGAAGCCAGCACATGCATATGTCTGAGGATGTGTGCATACTCAGAAAAGAACTGAGGAGACATGAGTGATCACCTTAGACTATTTATTTACCTCTGGTGTTTAGCACAGCAGGAAGTGAACCCTGAAAACCTGGGCCAGCATGCACACAGACACTCAGCAAAAGTCATACCAAAGGTCTCTAGTTCTTGAGCTTTTAAAATTTTTCTGTGCAGCTGGGCATGAGATCTCTGAGTTCCAGGCCAGCCAGGACTACATAGTAATACTGTCTCTAACACACACACACACACACACACACGCATGCAGAGATATATTGGGGATATATGGATTTCCAACTTAACCCGACTACCAACCAGCCAGCAGGTACCCAGTAGCCACACATGACAGAGGCTGTTCCTGAGCCATTGGCAACAGCAGTAACAAGAATGGCAGCAACAGAAAACCCTAGAGAAAGGGAGAATGTGATTTCCCAAAGCCACTACATCACATTGTTCAAAATGTCTCATCTTTAACCACAATTTGTAAAAACATAAAAAAAAAATAAAACACACAGGGGAAATCCTGCTCACACACAGATGAATTTAAAACCTAAAATAGTCACCAGTATCTGCCCCTGAGAGGACACTGATGTCTGACTTACTAAGAAAATAGGTAAACTATGAGGAAAATGTCTTGTTAAATAGAAATTATCAGTGAAGGAACTGAAATCATAAACCCAGCCATGTGGAGAATATTCAAAAGTACAATAACAGAACTGAAAAAATCATTAAGAGAGCTCAATCCTGGGCAGACAAAGAAAGGGTTGGCATACTTGGGAGATGCTGGCTAAGATTATTTAGTCTGAATAACGAAAAGAAAGAAAGAAAGAAAGAAAGAAAGAAAGAGAGAGAGAGAGAGAGAGAGAGAGAGAGAGAGAGAAAGAAAGAAA